AATATTACTCTGAATTTTTTTCTGTATGCTTTCTAACTTGTACCAGCTTTTCGATTTCTTTTCTTTTTCTTCTACTTTTAGTTTACCTACAGTTTGTCTTGTATTTGGAAAACAGTATTTAGGGTTCACCATATAATTTTATTTTCAAATAAATCTTTCTAGTTTGAGCCTTTTTATATATGGAAAAATAACGTATACTTGAAATCAAAAAACATAAATCATATGTTAGGATACACACCAATAAGAATGCCTCAAATGGAGACGTAAAAACGCACCCAAGCAAATACAAACTCAATCATAGTACTCACAGATATAACATGACTCACTCTTACAGAGCTACTGCAGGGTGCAACGATGACGCCCAATTTCTTTATACTCCAAAAGAAAATGATCAAAGAGAACACCCTCTCTTGATCAAGACTCTCTAAGATTTCTCACAAACTTTCTCTATGTTTTCTCTCTTACTCTTCTATAAGAGGAGTTGTGATGCGGCATAAACATGTACCAAAAAGGTTGCAAGTGCACAACCGTGTCAAGTTATAGTATTTAAGATATCGATCCCACGAAGAAGGTGTTTTGTAGGAAAAAATATAAAATTGGCTCTTATTTTGTGTGCGTGACAAAAAGGAGTGATGAGTAAATGTGATTGTGGAGAGATAATGAGAGTGAAAGTGATAGTGTGTGAAACGGCGCAAAATTTAAGTGAGAGTGGATGTGACAAAGAATGAGTGTGATCAATAAGGCAAAAATGAATAAAAATCAAGAAACAAATGAAAAATCAAGAATAAAGAATAAAATTCAAAAATAAAAGAAAATGCAAGAAATTAAAGATGGTGGATTCAATTATAGATATGGGTAATCTACAATTGAACCCACTTCTTAGAAAAGGGTGATTCCCTAGAGGGTTCTAGCCTAAAGGCGAATCAAACAAAATAAAAATAAACAAAAAGAAAAACTAAACCCAAGAGGGTTCTAGCCTCAAGGTGAATAGTATAAGAAATTAAAATCTAACTACAAAATAAATTGCAAAATCTAAACTACAAAATAAAATTGCAAGAATTAAATGCAAGAAAATAAATCTACTCTATAAGCATGAAATAAATCTAAGGCAAGAGGGTTCTAGCCTCTTGGCTATTTAACAAGAAAATAAAATCTAACTACAAGCATAGAAATAAATCTTAAACTAATAAGCAATAAAAGAGAAAAAGAAAGAAATGCAAACCTTCAAATAATTCTCCATCTTCATCTTCATCTTCATCATCCAACAAAGAGAAGAAGAGAAAAATTTAAAGTGGTGAAAAAATTATTATTATTAATTACAACTAAAGTTATAATTTTTGGAAGGCCTTCTCAATTAAGAGTAGCCCTCCTCTCCAAAAGGAGTTACAAAAATTTTCACACCTCTAACCCCTCACTCTCTACCCCTATTTATAGTAAACATCAGTGAATGAGAGCCATTGGATCAAACTTGAGCCCCAAGACAAGCACAATCAGCCATTGACGCGCGCTACAGTAATCTGGTATCGATGCAGGCATCGATGTAGGTATCGATGCCAGCATCGATGCCCACATCGATGCCGACATCGATGCCCATTATTTTCAAATTCTGATTTCACGGATAGCTTCGTCTCGTCGAGATAGGCGATTTTCATATATTATATGTTAAATTCCGCCTTCCGGATTAGGAGATATCGTCGTTTCTTTGTGGCCAACCATTTTGAATATGATTTCTTTTCATATTGGATTTTTGATTTTCTCCGGCTTCTACAGGCTACACGACTTCATTCTGGGCTTTTGGATAATTTGGAAATTGATTTTCCAATGTGCTTCTTTGCTTCATTTCTTTATTTAATCAATGGGTTTTTGTTGAGAGATGAGAGTTTGAGATTTATTCTTCATTAACCTGCAATTAAAAGATAAAAATAATTATTAGTGGTATATTTATTCATATAAAATAGATAATGAGGGTATAAAATTGTAATAAAATGTGATTATCAAATACCCCCACACCTAAACTTTTGCTAGTCCTCTAGCAAAGAAAATAAAAAGAAAATCCTAACTCACTTTCGCAGGAATCGCGGTTGTATTTAGCGCATACAACAAGCCTTTAAACCCCTAGGTTACCCTAGTGGACGAGTTGTAGTCTCGTGAGGGTTTGCAGTGAATATACCCACAAAATTCGGTCAACTTGCCAAATTAAAGAAGTCAGTAAATAACTAAATTCACTTGATAACTTTTAGATAATCTAATTGGAGCCAGTTATCACTCAAGAAAACATTTTTATATATAACTCTATATTTTCAAGAAAATCTTCGCATTGTAGCAATACAAAACCAAACCAAACTTAGAAATTTAATTTAAAAGTTTTGAAAAGAACATGCTAACTCTTCGTTTTAAATAATTTTCAAGTTGCTTGATTTAAAATATTTTCCAAGACCATATATACAATTATAAAACATTTTTTTTAATTAATTTTTTTTTAACTCTTTCTTCCTTGGTGATTTTTTTTTCTACTTTAACGGGCTTTCTAAGTGACCATTTAACGAGTTTTGGGCCAATGGATCCCAACCCAAATGGGCTTAGGTCATTAAGTATGGAAATACTCCTTAGGCTTAATTACTCGGTCAGCTTAGGCTTAATAAGATAGAATCACCTTGAATTAAAGAGTTTTTTTTTGTGCCCATTTTTCGCACTCTTCTTTTGTATGTATATATATTTTGAAAATATGTAAATCAAGACACTTCGAAAAATTATTTTCAACTCTAAGTTAAGCATGCAAAAATTTCATTATTTTAAATAAAAGTCCAAGTTAAGGCTTAAGTAAAGTATACTACTTTGAAAATGATTTCTTAAGAAATTTATTTAGAGTTATCATCAAAGGTGAACTTAAGTAAATAACTAACAATGGATTAGAAAATTTCAAATTTATCAACTAAATCAATTATTACATAACTCTATCAATTTGGCAAGTGACGATATTTTTATAATTTTTTTTTAAGAAAAAGAGGAAAAAAAACAAAAACAAAAATGTAACTAAAAATGTAAAATAAAGAGAAAAAAAACTAATTCCCACCCCCACACCTAAATTTTGCATTGTCCTCAATGCAAACTCTATGATACATAAAGTAAAGCAGATAAGAAGTGAAGCACTTACATTTGGTCGGCTGATAGAAATCTGCAATTACCTTTGGTCTGAGGAGGATGAAAACAAAAATTTATTCTTTTTTCTTTTTTTTTTCTTTTTTTTCTTTTTTTTCTTTTTTTCTTCTTCTTTTTTTTTTTCTTTTTCCTTTTTTTTTTGAAAACTGAACAAGAAACTCTCACATGAGAGAAGAATAAATTCTTTTTATTATTCTGAAATAAACAAAATAAACAATGTAGAATGAAATATTCAACATGAAGAGTTCCTGTTCTACATTGACTCCTACCTTACTGTTAAAAATTCTTCCCCGGATTTTAAACAAATTCAGAATGATATAATTAATAATGTGAATTTTCAAGCATTTCGGGGTGTTCAGTAATTCATGCAACAAGGTAAGGTAGGTATTATTGGTATCATGCATTTTGTATTTCTTAATGAACTTAGACTCTTGTACTGTGAAGTTTTGTTTTCCAACAACCAATTCTTCTGTGAAGTTCTGAAAATTTGGTTGTTGATTATTCTCCAAGAATCTAAGTTCATCAAGAAAGAGTTCTTCA